GAGATCTCTCACGAGGAGGGGCTGCAAATCCAGCCCAGGGAGCTGCGAGGAGGAAAGACCCTCCCTGAGCCGGGAAGGCGGCCGGAGATCCAGGCAGAGCTCAGAGCTGGTGGAGAAGCCTCCTGGAGGGGACAAGCCCCATAAGTGCTTGGAATGTGGGAAGGGTTTCAGCTGGAGTTCTGAGCTGATCCGGCACCAGGTGACCCACACTGGAGAATGGCCCTATGAGTGTGGGAAATGCAGGAAGAGCTTCAGGACTATTTCTCATCTGATGGAGCACCAAGTGATCCACACTGGGGAATGGCCCTACAGCTGCTTGGAATGTGGAAAGAGCTTTGGATGGAGCTCTGCCCTGAGAAGACACCAGCGCCTCCACACTGGAGAGAGGCCCTACGAGTGTCCCCAGTGTGGGAAGAGGTTTCAGACCAGCTCCAATCTCCTCCTACATGAGCGGATTCACACAGAGGAGAGGCCCTTCCGCTGCCCCGACTGCGGGAAGGGATTCAAGCACAACTCCCATCTCATCCTGCACTGGCACATCCACACTGGGGAGAGGCCCTACGAGTGTCCTGAGTGTGGGAAGAGCTTCTCCAGGAGCTCAGCCTTAACCCAACACCAAGGGAGGCTCCACTAAGGGAAGCCCTGTGAGTGCCCTGAGTGTGGGAAGAGCTTCGTGCTCTGCTCCATGTCCATCCCCCATGAGAGGATTGGTGTTGGATGGTAGAAAAAAATACAAAAACACAAAAACCAACCAACCAAAAAAAAAACCCCCAAAACCAACCAACCAAACAGACAAAAAAAACAAAAAACCAAACAAAACCAAAAACCCACCAAAATAGTGATACGCACATGTAAAAATATTTTGAAGTGAATATGACTGTTCTAACTGTACATATAAAGAAAAGCATTAATTTTAAAGTAAACAAATGTTAAAATTGCAGTAATCTCCTAGGTTTAGGTAATAAAAAACCCCTGCAGTTCCCCCCCCCAAAAAAAAGGAAAAAACTCTATTCTCAAAAATAAATTAAGTTTTGTTTAAACTGTTATAATCCTTAAACTGTGCATCAGAAGTTAATATAGTCCTCAATAAAAGTTATGAGAAAAACTGTTAGCCTGAATAAAGGCTTTTTAGATAGTAATCAGATTTCCATTCTCCTGGGAAGCTAATCACTGTAACATCAAAACAAAAATAATCCGTTTTCTTGTGAAGAAATCTCCATAGACTGAGAAAAAGTCTCCACTTTCACGTAAATTAGTAAAAAACTATTTTAAAGATGGTAAACTAACTGAGTTGTTTTTGTACGTGTTTAGTATTTAAAAAAATGTATGGAAGAAAAAACAGTAGTCTCAAGTTTTCTTCTAAGGGATTTTTCTTATCGTTTCTAGTAATAAAATTTATCGTTATACCATTTAAAGTAAAGCCTGCTTTTTGTCTTCCTCCTAATCCT